GCCGCCGTCGGGCCGGGCTGGCTGCTGCGTTCGGCGGTGGTTGTGCCCGCAGAGCCCGCCCCGTGCGATGAATTCCCTTCACGCTGCTCGCCCTGAGGAACGGGGTGCTCTGCTCCCGCGGTGGGCTGTGCTTCCTGCCTCTGGCAGCTCGCTTCGCCTCCCTCCGGAGCGCGGCAAACTTGTGTTTCCGATCATTGTTCGTCCTTTGGCTGCCGCAGTCTAGTGGCTCGCAGTGTGGATTTGTAGCGAGATAGCTTTTAGAAGTTCCTGAGCCGGGCACAACACTACATTGTTTTACGTGCTGTGCGAGAGCAGAACAAACAGTCTGTGCTCCAGAACGTGGGTATAAAGCAGCACATGTGCTCGGTTTGGAGCACAGGAGGGAGAGAGCAGGAAGGATGAATAGTTTCTAGTGTTCTCTCCTTTCAGGGAAGATGTATGTATTGGTGGTACTTCTTGTCACATGAGATAAAACAATCTTGCACTAAATTAATCCCTCTTAAAGACAGCGGTTCTCCTCCATGAGTTTGGTGAGGCTCCTTACCTTTTTATTATTTTTTTTTTAATGGATACCATAAAATACGTTACTTGTCCCTGAATGAAAAGGAAGATTAGATTTGGAGATCTCTTAGATTTGGAGATCTCTTAGATTTGGACATCTCATAGATTTGGACATCTCATAGATTTGGAGATCTCTTAGATTTGGACATCTCATAGATTTGGAGATCTCTTAGATTTGGAGATCTCTTAGATTTGGAGATCTCTTAGATTTGGACATCTCATAGATTTGGAGATCTCATAGATTTGGAGATCTCATAGATTTGGACATCTCTTAGATTTGGACATCTCATAGATTTGGAGATCTCTTAGATTTGGACATCTCTTCGATTTGGAGATCTCTTCGATTTGGACATCTCTTCGATTTGGAGATCAATGTGGGAAAGCATAAGGGCCTTAATGCTGGCCTTTAATTTCAGTATTTTTGTAAAAGGCTGTGTTTGTGTAAGCAAGAAGTACCAAGTTCTCTGAAAACTGGTATGTTGTTCACGAACCATAGACATGTATTGAGTGATTTCAGACGCCTGCCTTTTCGTGCTGCTTGATGGCATGGCCTAAGTTTTTTGGTGATGTAAATACTAGGTGGTTAGTACTAGATTGGAAGGAATATCATGTATAAGATATTTCACATATGTGGTTATACAGCCAAGTCAAGGCTGGGTAACATTGCCAAGCTCTCTGAGCTGTGCTAATTCGCCGATCAACCGAGGCGTTCAGTAATTAGACCTGGTGAGCCACTGCTAGCACGTGGATTCAGACATGAAGAAATGCAGATATTTCAGTCTATTTATATTGAGGTGGCTGCTGGAGTTCTTAATCAGGGTTCGGGCATTCTTGGTGTTTCTCTGCCACGTTCAGACACTTAACAGCACTAAATTCATCCACTGACCTTATTTTTGATGATTTGAAACATCCGAAAAGCAAAACAAGATGTATGGGATTGTACACATCTAGAAGTATCAAGACATGTGGCAACACTTTTTATACCATCTTTTATCCAAGTATTTCAGAATGATTTACAAGCATTAATTAATGTAAGTATTACAACACTCCTACTTAATCTGTAGTTTTTAATATTCTTCAATAGCAGAATATTTAAACGTGACCTGTTCTGCAGGTTGTATTTTCACTTGGCTCAGCTTCTTCAAAATGCTCGTCATGTTGCCACATGAGTAGGAAATTATAGCTAAAAATATTGCTATTGTACGTGTGTGTGTGTGAATATATATATATATATACGCGCTTCCCATTGTAGGTATTTTGCTTTTTTTTTTTTTAACTGACAATGTAAATTAAGGTCCATATTTGTCTTTTACCGGTTATTTTTAATAAAAATAGAGTAAATATGTCATCTATGTAAAACCATTTGCAATGAATGTCATAGTAAGGAGGTGTCTCTTACTCAAGTAGCTTATTATTCTTAAGCATGGGTGGTTTTTTGCTTGCAGGATCCCTTCAGCAGGGTAAAGCCTTCTGGCCATCCAGTAAATGTTACAAACCCAGTGATTGTACAGGGTTGGTGTTGTTGCTCGTGTGTTTATCAGGACCACAAGAATCATGAATGAAGCGTGTCTTTCCCTCTTTCCC